TTTCCTTGCAGTCCAAAGGACTCTCAAGAGTCTTCTCCAACACCACAGTTCAAAAGCATCAATTCTTCGGCCCTCAGCTTTCTTTATGGTCCAACTCTCATATCCATACGTGACTACTGGAAAAACCATAGCTTTGATTAGACAGACACTTGTTGGCAAAGTAATGTCTCTGCTTTTTAATATGCTGTCTAGGTTGGTCATAACTTTTCTTCCAAGGAGCAAGTGTCTTTTAATTTCATGGCTTCAGTCACCATCTGCAGTGATTTTGGAGCCCCCCAAAATAAAACCTGTTACTTCCCACTGTTTCCCCATCTGTTTGCATGAAGTGATGGGACCAGATGCCATGATCTTAGTTTTCTGAGTGTTGAGTTTTAAGTCAAATTTTTCACTCTCCTCTCTCACTTTCATCAAGAGGCTCTTTAGTTCTTTGCTTTCTGCCATAAGGGTGGTATCATCTGCATATCTGATGTTATTGATATTTCTCCCGGCAATCTTGATTCCAGCTTGCGCTTAATCCAGCCCAGTGTTTCTCATGATGTACTCTGCATGTAAGTTAAATAAGCAGGGTGACAATATACAACAATATACAAATATTCCTAAAAAATGCTTAGCATATGATAAAATATTCAGAAAATGTATAAAACATAATTGTACAGCTTATTACCAAGTCAGTAACTTTTAAGTCAGGCAAAAAAGCATTACCAGCACCTCAGTAACCCACCACATTCCTCTCACAAATTATACCCTATTCTTTCTCATAATTATCCCAACCTTTTAAAAAAATGAATTTTCAATTTCTATGTATTTTTATGCTTTATGTCTCTTGTAGATATATAGAGTGATTTTGTTGTAAATTTAGTTGATCACCTCTGACTTTTAACTGGAGGGTTCAGTATGTTTACATTCATAATGACTATTGATAAGTTCAGACTTATTTCTGCTGTCTTTGTGCCTGCTATTCATCTTACTTTTTTATATCTCTTTATATTTTTGGTATGTTGTTGTTGTTCAGTTGCTTAGTCGTGTCTGACTCTTTGCAACCCCGTGAATTGCAGCAGGCCAGGCTTCCCTTCACTATCTTCCAGAGTTTGCTCAAATGTATCCATTGAATCAGTGATGCCATCCAACCATCTCATCCTCTGTTGCCCCCTTCTCCTCTTGCCCTCAGTCTTTCCCAGGATCAGGGTCTTTTGCACTGAATCAGCTTTTCACATCAGGTGGCCAAAGTATTGAAGCTTCACCTTGAGCATCAGTCCTTCCAATGAATATTCAGGGTTGATTTCCTTTAGGATTGACTAGTTTGATCTCCTTGCTGTCTAAGGGACTCTCAAGAGTCTTTTCCAGCACCACAAATTGAAAGCATCAGTTCTTCAGCACTCAGCCTTCTTTATGATTCAACTCTCACATCCATACATGACTACTGGAAAAACCATAGCTTTGACTGTACAGACCTTTGTCGGCAAAGTGATGTCTCTGCTTTTTAATGCACTGTTTAGGTTTGTCATAGCTTTTTTTCAGGGAGCAGGCATCTTAATTTCGTGGCTTCAGTCACCGTCTGCCCAAGAAAATAAAATCTGCCACTGTTATCACTTTTCCCTTATCTCTTTGCCATGAAGTGATGGGACTGGATGCCATAATCTTAGTTTTTTGAATGTTGAGTTTTGAGCCAGCTTTTTCACTCTTCTCTTTCACCTTCATCAAGAGGTTCTTTATTCCTCTTCACTTTCTGCCATTAAAGTCATTCATCTGCACATGCGAGTTGTTTATATTTCTCCTGGCAATCTTGTTGGTATTCTCCATTTTTTTTCCTCTACTAGTTTGAAACTTGGACTGTAATTTCTGTTGTTGTATTTACCCTTGATATTTTGCATACTCACTTAAAATTTAAAGCTAATTATTATCAAAACTCCAGTAACTAATCACCCCACTCCTGGTTTGGGCTACTCTTTTAATTGACTTTTTTTAACCCCACATAGTAGACACTATTTTTAGTGTTTGTCTTAATATACCTATAAGCTTAGCAGTTTCTCTGCTCACTCTTCTAGATGAATTCCTTCCTCCCTACCTCTCTTTCCTTCTTGAGCTCTGATGAGATGCATTGGGTCATTCTATTACAAATTGTTCAGGTCTTTTAATCCAGTATTCTTGCCTGGGAAATCCCATGGACAGAGGATCCTGGTAGGCTACAGTCCTTGGGGTCGCAAAGAGTCGGACACGACTGAGTGATTTAACTTTTAATCTCTTTTTATTTTTCTTGTCTTTGCTGTATTCTGGGCATGGTCTTCTGATATGTTTTTGAGTTCATTAAAGCTTCAGTAGGATCTAGTAGTAGTGTGAAGTGTGATGTCCAACTCTTTGCAACTGCATGACTGTTCTCGTAACCCTGGAAATAATACTGGAGTGGGTTACCATTTCCTACTCAAAGGAGATCTTCCTGACTCAGGGATTGAACCTGCATCTCCTGAGTCTCCTGCATTGGCAGGCGGATTCTTTACCACTGTGCCACCTGGGAAGCCAGTTGGATTTAATCTTCTGTTTATTATTAGCATCCAATGAGTTTTGAGTTTCATTATTATACATTTCTAAAGGGTCTATCTAGTTTCTCTTAAAATCTGATCCTTTTTTAAATACTCATTTCCTGTTTGAGTTCATGTTCTCTTTATACACATTCATATATGAATGCTTTGCATTCAAAATGGGATAATTCCAGTATCTGAAGTTGTTGGGATTCTAAATCTTTTACCCGTAGCATTTTATTTTTCATGACACTGTTTCTGTTTGTGTTTTTTATATATATAGTGTGTGTGTGTGTTTTGTTACTGCTGTAAATCAGTTTCTTGGTTTTGAGTTTTATAAATTTTGTCAAGTTTACTCCAGACCTATTTGAGGACAGGCTTGTAGTTGCTTACCTGTGGAGACTCAGGTTTGATTCCTGGGTCGGAAGATCCCCTGGTGGACGGCATGGCAGCCCACTCCAGTATTCTTGCCTGGAGAATCCCATGGACAGAGGAGCTTGGTGGACTACAGTCCATGGGATCGCATAGAGTTCGACACAACTGAGTGACTAACACCTTCACTTGTAGTTGCAAATCCTCGCCAAAGACCATTATCATTACAATTATTTTTCTACTTGTAGATGTTCCCTGGTAACCTCTCTTTGCTGGCAAATTATTTCTTTTCCAGCCTGCTAACAGGGGTCCTTTAAGGATTCCTACTTAATGGAGGCATTTCATGTTCAGCTCCCTTAAGATACCATCTCCCATTCATTGAGTTGTTGTCAGTATTTGCCTTTAGGGCTACCCAGGGTTTTTAACTTCCTTTTACAGAGTTGATTTAAATTTGCTGTTCCTTTTGATGAGTGAGGTGGGAAGTAGAAGATTATTTCTTAGGGATTCCCTTTTCATTCTGTCAAACTTCAAAGTGAAGTGAAAGTGAAAATTGGTCAGTTGTGTCCGACTCTTTGTGACCCCATGGTCTGTACTCCATGGAATTCTCCTGGCCAGAATACTGGCCTTTCCCTTTCCCTTCTCCAGGAGATCTTCTCAGCCCAGGGATTGAACCTGGGTCTCCCACATTGCAGGCGGATTCTTTACCAGCTGAGTCACAAGGGAAGCTTAAGAGTGCATTAAAAGGTATGTTTATGAAAATTTAGTGGGATTTCTAAGAGCATCTGAACCCCACACCACCAGAAGTAGAAGTGTGCTTTGGTGTTTTCAGGAAAAAAAAAAATGATTGCTTTTAAAAACTGGGAGAAGAGCTTCATGATTCTAGGCCGTATTAATGAGAATAGAGAGTCCAGGATTTGAAACTAATATTTCCATTTTATTAAACAGACTACACGAGAGCCTTGTACTTAGTTTTGGTGGGCATATTTAAGATGACCAATAATAGAGTGATGGTTAAATTATAGTGTAACCTCTGGAACCAATCATTTTTTTCAAAGGCCACCCTGGAGAAATTTTCACAACTCATTGGAGAAAAGTGGGATATAAAACTATCTGTGTGATCCCCATATTATTTAGAAGACAGGAAGAAAAAGCAGATCGGTAAGTGACAATTGGTGGCAGAGTGATAGAAGTTTATTATTGATATTTTAAAGACTTGTATTCAAATTCTACAATAGAAAAAAAATTGAGACAGGTACTGTTAAACTAGAAAGTATCCCCTTTGGGAAGTCAAAAACAGAAAACTTATACTTATCAGCTAGAGGAAAAGTTATGTATAGTAAAATAAGTGAAATAATGTCATGAAGCACACTGGTGCTCACTTCATACCAGCGCTGTGCTGCACGTTGGGCTTGAGGGTTAACTTGATCAAAGTCCAGCTGCTTGCAAGCATCAGGGCTTTTGTTGTAACTTAGGTGTTCTGGTGTCAGCTCCACCTTTATCACTATTTTACCCGGTCCCCTGAGCCAGATACCTTAGATTTTCTGTACCACTCTCGTGATTTTGGTTTACTATCAGGATATGGTGGCAAGGGAACAGGGTGCCCCAAGAAGGTAGGAGGTAGAATTATTGTACTACAATAAATTGTTTAGTATTAAAGAGACTGGATACAGTTTTTTCACAAAAAGATATATTTTCATATGACTATTTACATTTTTCATATTTAGTTAGAGAATATCATACAACTGATATCTTCAGTTTCATGCTTTTAAACTCTTCTATTTACACTTATCTGACATGGAATTAAAACTGAAATGGTCATATACCTCAGTAATAGAAAGCAACCAGTCAATATAGCTGGGTCTTCACTTAAATTTGCTGATCAACATTAGCAACAGTTACCTTAATAAATTATCATTTATTTTAAAATCAGTAGTAATTTTAAACAATTGATAAATAAGTGTGCTCTGTGCAATTTACATGTTTAATATCCTGTGGATACTAAAAGCTGTATATTGTCAGATTTGCACATTATTACTTTATCAAATGATAAGCTTTCTCAGAGGAGAAAGTGGATAAGCTTGAAATTATATCCTAAGCTTCTCTGGAGAGTTATCAAAACTCCATCTGCTTTACAGGAGGAGGTTCCAGTTTACGTGAGAGGGCAGTTAAAATCTGATTGAATTTTTCATATCTGTCTGTCTGATTGACTTGTGCACCTTTGCTGCCCCATAGCAATCTCATTTGGAATTCAGTCTTGAAGACTTCACTCATTTCTTCATCTGGTTGAAAACCTAATAAAAACAAAACCATAAAAACTTCAGTTCTGCTTGAAACAGTGTTGAAAATAGACTGAAAACTTGCTTGTTTCAAGTAGGATCAAAATGAACATCTCTCAGAACTTAAAACATGCCCTCAAGGAAAAATACAGGATCTTTCTATATAAGGAAGGGGAGAACACCCCCCACCCCCAAGGACCTGAGCAACTTCAAAGAAAGAATAACTAAGTCACTAAGATATGACAGAATAAAATTTGTGTCCACAAGCCACCACTACTCCTGTAGTGCAGGAGTGTTCAAAGTATTTTTTTTAAAGCTTTATAATTTACTTGTCATGATTCACCCTTTTTTTAGCTGCACAGTTTATAGAGTTGTGTAAACATCACACCACTTTAGAACCCTAGAAAATCCCTAGTACCTCTTCTCAGTCAATCCCTGAACCTATCCCACACCATTAATCTGCTTTTCATTGCTATTTTGCCTTTTCTAGAAATTTGATATTATTCCATATTGTTGCCTGTTAATAATTCCTTTTCATTGCTGAGTAGTAGTCAGTTATATGGATATACTGCATTTTGTTTACCGAGTGGTAAGACATTTGGATTGTTTCCAGTTTCTGGCTGTTACAAATAATGTGAACATCTGTGATTAAGTCTTAGCATGGACATGTGTTTTCATATCTTTGGAAGTACTGGGTCATATGGTAAATATATGTTTACTTTAAAGAAATTGTCAAACTCTTTTCCAAAATGTCTATACTGTCTTATATTCTCATCAGTAACATAATGAAGAGTGCAGTTGTGAACTCTGTTGTCATTCTAGATGGTGGTGGTGGCAGCTCACTGTGGTTTAATCTTATATTTCTGTAATAACTAATGCTTTGAACATTTTTCCATATAGGTATCTGTCATTGTATATCCTCTCTGGTATATTGTCTATTCAAATCTTTTCTTCTCATTGAGTTGTAAGAATATATTCTAGATAATAAGTCCTTTATCAGATGTATGTTTGCCAAATTCTTTCTTCTAGTCTGTAGTGTGCCTTTTTGCTTCCTTAATGATGTCTTTCAAAGAGCAAAATGTAAAATTTTAATTTATCAGTGTTTTATGGTTCATGCTTTTTATGTCTTAAGAAATTTTGCCAGACACAAGGAATTTCTGTGTTTTCTCATAGAAGCTTTACAGTTGAGCTCTTAGTGTAAAGAGCTCTGAGTATATTCTTTCAGGTAAAATTGAAAATTTTTTTGCATGACATTCAATAGTTCTAGCACCATTTGTTGAAAGATTACTTTATCCAGTGAATTACCTTGCCACCTTTGTCAAGAAACAGTTAACAATCACATGTTTGGGCCCATTTCTTAACTCTCTTTTCTGTGTAAGAGATCTGTTCTACTTATGGCCAAGGATGCTCTCAGTCAGCTCTATGAGAGCAGGGGAAACCTCTAGCTTGAGTCATACAGACAGATGTTTCTCATCCTTGATTACTGCTGGAGTAGTTGGCTCTGTCATTAAATATAGTCCCAGCATCTGAATCATAGTCTCTTGGTGGTGGAGAGGATAACAGAAGCCTTCTATTTCATTCTTCCATGTGATGCCAAAATATCTTTGGCAGATAACCAACTAGAGGCCAGATGACAACTTCCATTCATTCAGTTAATCTGCTTTAAGCCCCTCTCCTGGGCAGGGTACTGGGGTATGTTGGTGAGCAAATTTCCGCCCTTACTGGGTTCACAGTTAATTCCAGCAATAAGAACTTGCTGTGAAAACCTGTAGCAGGATCAGCTGAGAAGTATCAAATACCTTTAAGGTGATTTGCTGTAAAACCGCTTAAAACATACTTTTCTCAAAATCCACTCTGATATATTGGCTTAGAACATCTACTGTAATATACTTATTGGTTTTGTATAAGCAGGCATTCTAATAATATCTACTGACTTGAATTATATATGCTTTTATTGTTTGCGCCACCAGGGGAGCTGTGATAATTAGCATCTGAGTCCTGTACTGCCAACCCTGCTGAACTTTCTGAGGAAAAGAAACACGTATGTATTGCTTATACCTACAGCAGATATAGTGCAAGTTGTTTAGTCCCAAATTCTGTTTCTGAATTAACAACTTTGTTTTAGGTCAAAATAATAGACCTCTCCTGCCCCATATAGTTCTTAACCTTCTGGATCAAACTGTAGGTCCTTGAAGAGTTTTAAAAATTATACAGTGGTGAAGAGACAAGGCCCTTTTTCTTGAAGGGCCTTGCTTGAGGGCACTTTTCAGCCCTCCAGCCTTCCTGCGCAAAGATGCCAGACTGAAAACAAATCTAACCATGTGATAACATCTTCTTATATTTAAAACCCTTCACTGGCTCTTCCTCAGCCACAGTCCTACATGGAAGGCCTTCCCACCTCTATCCCACTCTTTAGCCTAGCTGGCCACTCCTGAAGACACATGTCACACTAACCCAAACCCAAGTTTGGATCAATGTACTTTGTGGTTTGTGCTTTTCTCCAAAGTCTCAATCTCAGAGCCTTGGCTTATGGTGGACTCTCTGATTCCAAGAGCAGAGGAGCTCATGTCCCAGTGTGTCTGGGAAGAAACAAGAATATAGATAAGTCCAATAGAACCCCAACTCCTCATGTGGGCCCATCATGTTTTCTAATAATGATGATTAGTGGTACTAATGGTAAACAAACTGACAGATTCTTTCTTGATCCTTTCTCTGTTTTCTTATACCACTGACACAAAAGGAGAGAGAAGCAGGATCCTTAAGTCAGGCAGGAATTAAGAGTAAGTAATACAAGAAATGGAATTCCCAGGTCTTAATCTTTCCTACTTGGTCTTTTTCTATGCTCTTGTCATTCCTTCATTCCAATTACTGTGCAGAGTAGAGAGCAGCTTAACCAAAACCAGCTCTTACCTGCCAGGATCCTCTCAGCATTCATCCGGTAGCTGTCTGCAGCTTCCGCCATGCGTCGGGCTGTTGCCAGATGGTTCAGCATAATCTCACAGCTTTCATCGTTTTTTTCCCACATGTCAGTTCCTTCAAAAGTGACAGCCTCGCGCTCCATTAAGGTCACAAGAGGCATCAGCAGTGGGACTGATACATTGTTTGGGGGAACACATGTGGACTCTGAAAAACAGGGGCAGGGATAAAGTTCTCCACATCATGTTTTTTTCCCCCCAAGTTAAACGCAGAGAGTTTCAATTGAAGTTGGCAATGTAGGAGAGTCCTGGGCTTACCACCTTCTGTGGACACAGTGAATCTATGGCTAAGTATGGAACAACTTCCGCTGGAAAAAATCCTAAAGACTGCATTGTGCAAATAAGAGAAGACCCACATAAAAGTCTCCCAGCCCCTCTTACCTACTATCACACTATAAACCCTCCCCTGGGGCAGTGACCCAGAGTCAGGAGGGAACTCAAAACCTGGAGCTTCAACCTGAGGAGCAAAGGGCTTGAACCCCACGTGTAGCACCCCAACTTTTAAGATCACCCGAGATACAACCCCCCCAAACATCTAACTTTGAAACTCAACACTGTAGCTCTCTATAAGACCCCAAGGCTATAATTATCTGAGAAACAGGTCTTAAAGGGCTTACAAGCTTGAACTCACCTGATCCAGAGCTTGGTACAGAGGCAGCCAATTGAGAGGTGCCTAGATATTATGCAAATTAGGCTCATTTGCCAATATTAAAGTTTTAGCCTGAAAGAAGGGCTTAGGAGGCCCTCAGCAAATGAAAGCCGATAGATGATGCAGTCTTTGTGTTTGCTCTCTGCCTTGCTCCAGCTCGTTGATTGATATATCTTAGAAAAGAGCTTATACCTTTGTCCAGCTACCTCTAGAACACTATACATTGCCTAGCTCTGATGGCCAAAGGGGCTTATGCCCATGGATCCTATAGGACTGTAACCTTTATAATGCCACAAGAAAAGAAAATTATAAGTCAGTATTTGCAAACTGAATTCAACAATACATTAAAAGGATCATATGGATTGATCAAGTGGGATTTATTCCAGGGAAACAAGGATGGCTCAATATTCACAAATCAACATGACATACTGTGTTAATAAGATGAAAGAAAAATAATTTGATCTTAATAGATGCAGAAAAATCATTTGACAAAATCTGACATCCATTTATGGTAAAAAAAAATTCCCAACAAAGTGTATATAGAGGGAATGTACAACAACATAATGCGGCCACATATAACAAGCCCATAGCTAACATCATACTTGAAAAGCTAAAAACTTTCCATCTGAGAACAGGAATAAAGGATGCCAATTCACCACTTCTGTTCACACCATACACAAAAATAAACTCATATAGACACAATACCATAAAACTCTGAGACAAGAATATAGGCAAAACATTCTCTGGCATAAATCATAGCAATCTTACCTTAAATCAGTCTCCCAAGGTAGTACAAATAAAAGCAAAAATAAAGGGGGCCTCATTAAACATGTTTTTGCAAAGGAAACCATAAACAAAATGAAAAGACAACCAACAGATGGAAGAAAATATTTGCAAATGATGTAACTGACAAGGGCTTAATTTTGAAAATATACAACTAGCAAAAAAACAAATAGCCCCCTGAAAAAATAGGCAGACGGCCAACAGATACATGATGCTCAATAGACAATAGATGCTCAACATTGCTAATTATCAGAGAAATGTGAATCAAAACTACAATGAGGTATTACTTCACAGTGGTATCATATCAAAAAGTCACAAATAATAAATGCTGGAGAGAGTGTTGAGAAAAGGGAACCCTCCTATACTGTTGGAGAGAATGTAAATTAGTGCAGTTACTATGGAGAACAGGATGGAGATTCTTAAAGAACTGAAAAGAGTTGCTATATGATCCAACAACCCCACTCTTGGGCATGTATCTGGAGAAAACCCTTAATTTGGAAAGAGGCCTGTACCTCAGTGTTCATAGCAGCACTATTTACAATAGCCAAGATATGGAAGCAACCTAAATGTCACTCAACAGATGAGTGGATAAAGAAAGATGTGGTGTATGTATGTACATAACTGAATACTACTCAGCCAGAAAAAAAGACATTGCCATTTGCAGCAACATGGATGGACCCAGAGATTATCATGCTGAGTGAAGTGAGTCAGACAGGTGGATATCTCATGATATCACTTATGTATGAAATCTAAAAAATGATACAAGTGAACTTATTTACACAACAAGGTCCTTTTGTATAGCATAGGGAACTATAATTAATATCTTGTAATAATCTATAATGAAAAATATTAAATATATAAAAATTATTTTGCTGTACACTAGATTTACACATCATAAATCAACTATAACTTCAATTTTAAAAGATGCATATGTGTTTACACACACACAATGGAATATTATTCAGCCATTAAAAAGAATAAATCCTGCCATTTGTGACAACACAAACTTGAGGGTATTATACTAAGGGTTTTATGCTAAGTGAAATATGTCAGTCAGAAGAAGATAAATAGCATGTGAACTCACTCACATGTAGAGTCAGAAAAACAGAAAGACCCCTTGAGCTCATGGATATAGAGGACAGATTGGTGGTTGCCCGAGATAAAGGGAGAAGTGAAATAAGGGCTCAGGAGGTACAGATTCCCAGTTATAAGGTAACTCCTGGAGATATGCTATACAGCATGGTGACTATAGTGAATACTATATTGCATATTTGAAAGTACCTAGCAAAGTGAATCTTGAAAGTTCTCATCAGAAGAAAAAAAATATTTTATACCTATGTATGGTGATAGATATTAACTGGTCTTATTGTGATCATTTTGCAACATAATCAAATACTGAACCATTATGTTGTACACCTGAAGCTAATATGTAAACTGTACCTCAGTTTAAAAAGTTAAGCTCAAAATGAGGTGACTGGTATCCTACGTCTTGTTTTAGCAACTGAATACCTACAAGCAACTCTGTCATCTGATAAAGGCTTGATGACTCATAGACAATCCTGCAGATAACTTGGAGCCTTTATAACATACCCTGCTAAAAGCTTTGCTCAAACCAGAACAGATAATGACACTGCCGAGCAGCCCCCAGGCTGCCTGTGCTCACCTCTGCCTTCATGCAGGATTTTGCTGAAAGGCTTCAGCTGCTTCTCATAGAGGATGGCGGTTTGTGTGTACTGGTGCCGCAGGGCAGTCCACGTTTTTTCTAACCGCGTGATCTGGAAGAAATAAAAGTGTTATAGCTTTGGAAAAGGCTCTTTTTAAAACTACCTTGGTGCTTAAGTTTTTAAATGGATGATAGATGGACATGATAAAAACTCAAAGCAGTTGAAAGGAGAGTATAGAGAAAAGCTAATCCTTACCCACTCCCTGCTCCATGTTGCTCTCATGACCCATTAGACACACACACCTTTTAAAATAAATGCATATCATACTATACACATATTTTCCTGTTCCTTGTTTGGAAGTTATTTCACATAAGTACATACAGAACAGAATACAACAGTCTTGTTTTATTAAGCTTCTAATGGTCTATTTATGCATAAACCATAGTTTAACTAATTTCCTATACATAAGAACTTTAAATATTTTTCTGTTATAGAATTATCTCAAAGATTTTGCAGATGTGCACAAGTAAGAGAATATCTGGAGGATAAATTTCCAGAAGTAGAACTACTGGGTCAAGAAATAAAATCTTGGTAGGCATAGACAACTGTCCTCCACAGAGTTTATACCGATGTAAGGATATAGAATTATGATCTTAAGCATTTTAATGTTATTTTTAAGTAATAAAGTCTGAGACACATGGAAAATTGCCTGGGCCACATGATGCCACTGCTCATTTTTTTGGAATCATTTAGTCTGGACCAACATATGCCACTGACTCTGACTATCCTAATAGTCCCCCATTCACACCCTAAAACCAGCAAGCCCGTGTCTGATGTCTTCTACATGAAACAAGGAAGGGGGGAAAGGGAACTAATATTTAGGGAATGAGAGCCAATGCTGTTAGGTATTTGAGGAATTTCATTTAATTCTCACGGTGCTCTATGAGACAGTATTTTGACTTCATTTTACAGATCAGAAGACAAGAGATTAGGTAACTTGGTCAAGTTTCACAGCTAAATGGCAGAGCTGAGATTCATTTCCTTGGCCTCTAAGAACTCCCTGTGTATTCCAAGAGGAAGGTGAGAAGGGAGCACCATCAGAGGTCTGCTGGGAAGGGGAGGATGTGACTTATCTTCCTCCGGCCACCCAGGATGCCACCATTTCTTCTCCCGCCCCCTTCTTCTTCCCTGCCCTGAAGCGTCCGCCTTTCTGAAAGGAGCCCTTATCTCTGGGCTAGGCCCACCTCCTGGATGCTCTCTCTTGATACCGGAAACTGAGAAGAGAAGGCAGCACAAATGGCTGTAGTCCAGGGTCAGGTTTAGGTGACCTGACACAGAAATGACATGACTCTCGTCTCTGGTTTTCCCTGGGCCTGCCACTCCCCACCCCAAGCCGAGCCCTGAGCACTCTGGAGGACTCTGCCCCCTCATTGCTGAAGTGCTGCAGAAAGGGAGAGGATGATGCTGCCGTGGGATGGGAGGGCCAATGTTCATGTGCTTTGGGGTAAGTCCCTAATTGCTGAGTTTGATGTCATGGAAAGCAACCATGTTAATATCACAAAATTCCCCTTCACTTCTCTCAGAGGAAGCTCTGGGCTGGGAAGCTATACGAACAGCTAGCCTATTAAGTCCTCAGAATTATAGGCAGTTTTGGATAAAAGGAAATAAACATGACATAAATTAAAAACACCCAAATGAAAAATGATAACTCCTGTTAGTAATACAGCTGAACTTGCTTATTTCAAATATTGACCCAAATAATTTCAGTGTATCTAAAGAAATTTGAAAGTTCTTGGAATATTATAATTGGAATTGACCCTTCTCAAAATTTCCTGGTGAAAGCATGAAGCATTTCAGCTTCTTGTTTGAAAGGTGACCTTGGTTTCATACAAGGAAATTATGTTCTTAACATGCAGGATTTCAGAGAACCTGTGGCTGGCTGCGAAATAGCCAAGCTAAATGAGCGGTGGCTTTGGTGTGACTGGTTGCAGATTCGGTTTGTGGGACTGTGATCTCGTACTCGAAGTCACTGAGCATCTACCTCTATGAGGTCCACTTGGCTTCAAAAACAAATTTTCGGTTTCAACCCTCATCCTAAAAACAGGCTGTCAAAGCAGATAAATTCAAAGTGCCTGATTTCAGAAACTCTGCTTTAGGGGTTGTATGGCAAATGAGCCAGGAAGCTGAGTCTTTTAACAGGAGAGTCTGTCTTAGGTGACCTGAGGAACATACTTTGAGATAAACCATCCTAGGGATCCTCAGAGATCAGCTCCCCAAATGTCTTGGTTTCCCGGTCATAACCCCAAACAGCCCGCCTGTCCAGTGATCCAGATGGAAGCAGTCTTTCTTACACAACACACTTGAGCCAGATGTATCACCCTAACTGGTTCTTCAGGAACATCTGTTGTTCTTAAGGATGACTCTTCTTATTATACATCACAGAGAAAGTGTAGGTAGTCAGCGATTATCTGCTGTCTTTAAAAACAGAGCCAGAAACTTGCAACGCGGCTCTTGTTTGCCCCCTGATCAAAGCAGCTTTCACTAAGACACGATTTACCTTTTGAATTGACTAGTCACCTGTGGTTTGCTAGGCATGGACTTGAAGACCACTCTGCAGAGCATTAAGTACACCCAGGCCCACAGGGCTGCACACAGCAAGTGGAAATTTACCTGTGGCATTTCCAAGGCCTTCATGATGGCTGAGAAAGAATAGAGGTCCCCCATGGAGTCTTTCAGTTCCACGGCCACCTGGATGATCTTATTGAGGGTGGCTGCTCTCTCCTCCAGACTGCCCGTGCAGCCCAAAATGTCCACTGCAATGCCGATGGCCATCGTGTTGTGTCTGAAAGGAAGGAGATGAGCGATCAGGCCCAGGGCTAATAGGACCAGGAGGAAATGAAACCAAACTGGCCAAACTGCTTTGCACCATTTGCCGCTGTCTTCCTGAGACACACTGGCAGCCCACACAGTTAGGTTGCTGATTGCAACCGAGAGACCACCCCCATCAGATTGCAGAAGGGCCTCAGTGGGCATCCTGTGGAGGATCAAAAAGGACAGATACCCCAGGACATGGAGTGTTCAACCCTGGAGCAACCGGCATGAAAGGGCCTTCCTGTGCTGAAGCTGCTCAGAAGTGCACATGCTCCTTGTCCCTCTCACCATGACAGGTCCGCGGAGATGCCAGGTCCCCAGCACACTGAGGAACCCCTTCCTCAGGGAAGTCCCTGAGCCCCCTGGACTGGGGGATGGAAGGGACAGAAGGACGAGATAATACGCTTGATCAAGGAAGACAACATGGATGTGAGAACAAGGGATGAGGAGCTAAGAATAGAGTGGCTTGGGTCAAGGGGCCAGAAAGTGAGTGGAAATGTGGACAAAGACTCAACAGTGAGCTGGCAGGATTTCTCTGTAAGGTCAGACCCTCATAGAAAGAAATTTTGTATCTACCAACAATCCTCCCTTTCTCATCCTGAACGCCACAGGTCAACTGCGCAGACCCAGAACAGGAAGCAGAGTGGTCTTTTCTGTACAGAGAATGGGATGGATATGAATGGGGTCACAGAGAGGTCTCCTTCCTGGTGGCAGCAGTCTGTAAACCTGCCTCTCCCTCCCTCTGTGGCCCAGGAATGAGCATTCCCCACCTTGGGCCAGAATGAAAGTGAAAGTTGCTCAGTCGTGTCTGACTCTTTGTGAACCTATGGACTATACAGTGCATGGAAGTCTCCAGGCCACAATACTAGAGTGCTTAGCTGTTCCCTTCTCCAGGGGATCTTCCTAACCCAGGGGTAGAACCCAGGTCTTCTGCATTGCAGGTGGATTCTCTACCAGCTGGGCCACCAGAGTGGCCTTGGGTAAATTTCTCTCCAGGTACTGGTACGGGTGCTGAAGGTGAAGCGCTAATTCACAGCGATGGTCGCTACAATGTGACTTGCCTCTGAAATTCTGGGGCCACCTTGTCCTAGAAGCTCACAGCTAAGGACGGTATTCCACGCTTCCTGTGCTGGCCTCCTCACTCTTCCAGAGCAGAGACAGGAGTGACTCATCTAGCGGCTAGCACTACCAGTTTCCCCAGTGATTTCAAATCAGTAGCAGGCTCTGCGCGTTTGCACATGTGGGTGTACAAGGTGGCTGCTCAAAGTGTGACCTTAGGCTGTTACCTGACTGCTCCACTCCCTTAGTTCCTCATCTGTAAAACGGGAACAAGGGCTGTTGTGAGAAAGACTCTGTGTGTGTGTGTGTGTGTGTGTAAAGATAAAGTGCCTGGCTCAGCAGTACCTAGCAAATAGCAGTTGTTACTATACTGGTATCTATGTGTGCATTTCTCCCTCTGTATCTTGGTCCCTTTTGCCTGTCTCTCTTTCCTTTATCTTCTTTTGCTAATTTCCTGTCTTTCTTAATTAATGGATCTTTAAAATAGACTTAAAGTATATTTTTATTATGTTAAACTTATTGAAGAGTTTTGTTACCCATTTGCAAAGTGTTAAGGTTGAGATGAACATTTTAGCTGTTTAATAGTAAACTAACTTCCCATGTTGCCTTCAATTGATTCTTTAGTCAATATTTTTTTCCTGTGTTTTAATGGCCCTTAATAAAAGACAGGTTCTCTATTTCTTTAAGACCTGGCTTTATATCAACAGTTAATTGGGTAATTATATCCATCCATTCAAACAACATTTGCCTCAAACCTCCTGCACACACCGCCTTGGGAAAAACAGCTCAGCAAGGCAAGTGTGTAGCAGAAGCTCCTGAGGTGGGTAAGAGACACAAAACATTTCAGAAGGACATCTCTGCTCACTCGCCTTGGAATGGGTGGTGGTAAGTTTAAAATGGAGAGGGGTTTATATTAGACTCTCAAACACAAGGGTATCATCTGATCCTGCAGGACTGCCGTAACCTTTATTTAGTAGACATATTGTAATGGAGAGAACCACTCCCCAGGCCCTAGCAGGTAGATCCCACAGGTCAGTTCTGGATGGGGAACAAAGCAAAGAGCCAGACCCCAGGCAGGCAGCAATCAGGAGAAAGAGGAAATGGATGCAGACAAGAGTGGAAGTCAGAAAATAGCCCAGAGAGAAGCCACAAGCCTGCTGACCTCAGCCTGGGCACCCATAATGCATGCCCAACACAGCTAATGAAACTGATAACATTTAAGGCCTGCAGGGCTTCCCTGGTGGCTCAGTGGTAAAGAATCCACCTGCCAATGAAAGGAATATGAGTTTGATCCCTGGTCTGGGAGGATCCCACGTGTTGCAGAGCAACAAAGCCCACAGGCCAGAGCTATTGAGCCTGTGCTCTGCAACAAGAGAAGCCATGCAATGAGAAGCCCGCACACCGCGACGAAGAACAGCCCTCGCCTGCCACAACTAGAGAAAGCCTGTACAGCCACGGAGACCCAGCACAGCCACAAATAAATACGGCCTACCCCTGGGGAGTTTTCAGTCTGAAAAGTTTCAGGAGAAACAGCGATGCACGGCAGCACAGCTGGTCTCTGCTGAGCCAACGACCATGGGCCCGGACCAGGAGGGAGGGCAGGTTAGTGGGAATGACAAGCCAGGCCCCTGGGGCATGGGGAGGGAAGAGGATGCCTTGGAGAGCAGGGCTGGCATCTAGAAGAGTGAGCAGGGCAGGCAGGGAAATTCAGAAGTCAGACCTACCACTGCCCAAAGACACTGAACAACAAGCTGAGAGGCATGCCTGAACAACGGCAGCAGGGCCACGTCCTGCCCTCCTGACCCCCAGAAGTCTTCCGTTCGGCACTCTGGGTGTTTCCTACGGGAGGCAAAGCAACAGAGGCACTGGAGCCATTTATTTGCTTCATAGTCGGGTAACCTTGAAAGCAGCTGTTACCAACTCTCCCAGGCCATTTGAAATAGTGTTTACTTTCTAGGGGCTAGCGGTAGTCTAGGACTACACTGTCCACAAACCACATGTGGCCATATTTATATACTTAAAATGCTGAAGAGTAAAATAAAACATTTCATCCTTCAGTTGCCACATTTCAGGTGCTCAGTATCCCCAGTGGCTAGCGGATGCTGTCAGGAGATTGCTGCCATCAATGTTGTATTGGACTGCACTGTGACCCAGAACATCACAGAAAACCGTGGGCGGGGATGATGGTGCTAGGGCCCCAGCTTCTGAAGCATCACTGTCCTCTTCTCAGGAGAAGCCAGGGCCCTGGCTGCCCACTAAAGACCACTTGAGTGCTGTGGCAACTGAGAAGCTGGTTGGAAAAACAGAAAACTTCAGATAACAAAACAGTCTTGCCCAAAACAACTATCTTTTTATGTGTATCAAAAAGGCCAACTTCTATGATAATATGAGATTCTAGTCTAGTGCTTCTTAAAAACGTGCCTCGCTACTTCTACCTTTCTAATTTCTAAATATCTGACGTGAGTGGGTTTTAATGGCCAGCCAGGGCCCTGGCTTTCTATGAGAAGAGGGCAGTGATGCTTCAGAGGTCGGGGGCCTAAGCACCTCATCCCTTGCCCTCTGATCTCCCATTTGTCCACACTTCAAAGAAAACACTGTTCAGACCCTGTTCTTCCCAACTCCCCCCACAAACCCCCACTTAATTCCTAAAGCAGAGAGAGGGGCTGCAGCTCAGGCTGGAGGGAAGCGGCAGGGCACCCCCGCTCCATCTGCCTGCAGCACTGCTCCCAGCCCAGGCCAGCAGGGGTGATGGTGACCTGTGTTCCAGGGCTGAGCCTCTGCCAGCTTCTCCATCCGCCCATGGAGCTTCTCCAGGAATTCTCTGGTCATGGCTTCTGGGAAAGGCCTTCAGGGGCCACACTTCCTTGAGCGAGGTGGCCCTGGGGCAGAGGGTACCTGGCCTCTCTCTGAAACCTGTAGCTCTGACAGCCTGTGGAGTTGAAAGGACCATAAGTACAGAACAGCACTACTCACCTTTCAATGATGTCCAGGCGCAGTTGGTGACCATAAGGCAAGGTGATGAGCTCCAGCCCTGAGTTCACGCCCATGTTCTTCCTCATCTCTTCCGAGACTTCAAGTATCCTCGCGACCTGTCAAGAACACAGGTTGAAATGAACTGGACCAGGAAGTGGGCTTGCTGCGAACATGGAAAGAAATACACTAAACTGGGACACTGTGGATGCACTTGACTTGTTGCACTTCTTTTTGAGCAGCAGCATCTGAAAATACAGTTTTAATACACTATTTGGAGGCTTTTGATACATATACTGGAATGTAAAACTTGGCAGTAAAGTACCTAGACTGGTCTGCAGATTTGGTGTTTCTGCCTGGCCAGAGAATGGTGTGGTTCTTCAAGCTTATGTCTAACATGGCTGGATCCTGCTGCTAGATTTGCCGCCAACAGCAGGACTGTGTGTGCGTGGAGCAGACTGATCCCCAGCAGTGGAAAAGTGGAGCTGCGTCCAAGTGCCACTCTGCTGCAGGCTCTGCCGTTCATGTTCTCGCTTAACGGCAGGGCTGGCTCCTATTACCCATAATTACGCCTCTCCTGGGCTCAGTAAACGCATTGTACATCTGGAAACTATTAGAAACATGTACGGCTATGTGAAACCCGAGGTCTCAAACACACCCACTTCTCCCCCTGAGAGGTCTTCCTTAAAGAAAATCTGGTTTGTTTGTCCCACTCAGCACGCCCCCATCTCAGTTCCAGTGTGTGATCACAGCTTGTTGGAATCAGGTATTAGTTAACCACTTACAGTTATTACATTACCTCCAAATGCTACAACTGAGTCAGGGCATCTCTAAGACGGGGCTGGTGACACTCACAGAGCACTGATATGTTGATGCTAACAGTGCAATGAGCAGATATGCGTGTGTGCTAAGTCGCTTCAGTTATGTCCAACTCTGCAACCCTATGGACTGGAGACTGCCAGGCTGTCCATGGGATTTTCCAGGAAAGAATCCTGGGGTGGGTTGCCATGCCCTCCTCCAGGGGATTTTCCCATTGAAACGGCATCTCCTGTGGCTTCTGCATTGCAGGAAGATTCTTAGCTGCTGAACCACCAGGGGAGGTCCAGCTAGCAGATAAAATGGGTGAAACCATCCCTGGACATGTGGCAGGCACAGGACAATTCCCTTCCTTGTTCCTGTGGCGTTGTCCTCCACTGTAATTATCCAGAGCATATGAACAGTCCAGGTGTCTTCATAACAGTCCACCAAAAACATCTGGCAGTTTAGCTGATATTATTAACCTTGACCTTTAACTTCTGTAGTTGAGCAAAGGCACCACCATCAGCCCTGGGGATGAGCTGTCCAGTGCAGACTCCAGAATAAGACTCAGGATTCATCTGCTCTCGGCCTCAGTTTCCCCTTCTCTGAAACAACTGCTGAGTTTACCTTCCTCAAGGACTTTGCCAAGGATTAAATGACTCTAAAACCCGAGCTATTTACAAAGCCAAGTTATGAATCACTGGCCACGTGCAAGGGGGAAGAATCCTGGCCTGATCTCTGGAAAGAGATTTACGCCTGGACCATGGCAAGGCAGCCCAGATGCACACCCTGGTCACCTGCAATCACACACACTGTGCTTGTTTAGACATCTGCCCTGTCAGAGGCTCCAAACCTAACACATTCAATAACAATAACAAGAGTCAGAGGGTTGTCATTGATTCACTTTTATTCTGGAAGCTGTTTTCCTCTCTGGCCTGTTTTCCTTCAGTGTAAACATGCAGTCCCCTGGTCACTTTCCTGACATTACCAGGAAATGCCAACACCTGGTTGCCCCAAGGCTGAGCTCTGGGACAAGGGGTCCTGAGGTCACAGTGCAGCCTGGATTAGGTCTCCTGGGAAAGCCTGGGGCCATGCTGCTCAGAGATGGAGAGGAAGGACGAGCACTTCTAGAGGATTCACTGTGAGCTGGACCCGGCAGAGCAGGATGACACCCGTCCCCATGAGACCCGGCTGCCTTCTGCTCTCCTGATCTTAGCCATCCTGGCTCTGCAGGGTCTCCTAGTTCCGCCCACTCCTCATCTGACTGCCTGGGGAATGGCTGTGGTGACCCACTGGAGCCCTGAGAGGGGCCTGACCGGCCTTCTTCCCAGCTGCCAGGAACCATCTACTGAGAAATGAGGTCGCGTCTCGGTTGCCCTCTATAGAGGACTCTGATGGGCACTCTGAACTTACGGGCCTGTCTCCCTCACTCAAACACTGCAGAGTGCCCTGAAGGCAGCAACCTGGAAAGAGCCCAGAAGTAGAGACTTAAAGAAAGACAGATTTTCCAGGCCCTCCCCCTTCAGACCTCATTTCCCTCACTACCCATCCAGAGTGAATCCTCCATAAACCAATACCCCTCCCTCCTATGGTTCTTGGCCTCTCAGTCTCTGCAAGTGTGCGCTGCCTGCCACCTGGAAGATGCTTTTGTGTTCAGCATCACCAACTCCTATTCAGCCTTCAAAGCTTGTCTCAGAAATCCCCACCCTGACCCCTTGCTCCACTATGTTTGAGACCCTACCTTGGAGGTCCTGCAGAGCATTTCCCACCTGGACCGTGGTCTGAATTCTATGTCACTGTCACTCCTGCCTCTCCCACCATGACCTGGCCTGACTTGACCTGGCCCACAGTTGGTGTTCAACCAAGGCTCAATACATAACACTAGGGAACCGTCACTCAGCCTCACTCTGGGGCAGGCACCGTAGAGGGCTTTAGTCTTCACAAATACCTGGGTTGTGGCGCTCTCTTCTCCCTTTAGAAACTCTGAGAGGCAGGGGAGGTGGTGTTAGACTCAGCAGCTCACCCCCAGAGGCCAGGCCCTTGGCCACTGGAACTGTCTCCGTCTAGCTTCTGCAGAGACAAGTGGGTAAGGCAGGGCGTTACCCATTCACAGGGTGGGAGCGGCTCAGTGGACACCCACCCAGCCCCAGCCTGGAGAGGGGCTTACCCTGCTGCCTCCGGGCACTCAGGACCACCCACAGCCCCCACAGGCTGGGCTCTGGGCACAGGTGGGAACCAGCACTTGGGCCCTGGATGCTGCCCTGCGTCAGCTCTAGGCTTCCGGGTGGGCTGGTCTGGTTGCAGTTAGAGTCAGATCAGTGACAACAGCCTTTGTTTTACTTCTTAGTAAAACAAGCTCGCTGCTCTTGCCCTGTTGGCAAAGCCCTGAAGTCAGTAGTTCAGGAAAAGGATAAGGAAATGAGGGAGGAAGGAAGACGAAACAGCCCCACCCTGGGGACTGGGGGTGGGCTCATGGTCAGGGTCTCCCACTCAGGTCTCTGCCTCGCTGCCTGGGGGCTCCATCCAGCACCTCTTCCAGGGGTGCCTAAAAGCATATAAGGCGGGGGGGACCCCACCAGGAGGACAGACGCAGACAGAGAAACAACAAAGAGGAGGCTACACATTCCTTCAGCTGAGAACAGACTGCCAAGGCAGTGGGAAGGTTCCGGACTCTCCTGTGAAGAGCAGTCGGGCCTCTCATCTCCTCCTAGGCTGCTACCAAGTCCTGCCTGAGAGCACAGCGGGGAGACATTCATTTCCTCCCAGAAATGAGGCTGTTCTCAAAACCCAGAGCCATGTTCCCACAGGGAACTTCCTCCACCGAGAGCTCAGACAGGTTCACACCAGGCTCCTGGCCTGCTGGTGTGGTTCTGCCGTCTCAGATCCAGGGCCTGTTCACACTAACTAGAACAGGAGACTAAATCCTCTCCCTGCCCAAACAGGTTTAGCTCCCTCTGAATGAGGTAAGGTCTTAACAAGGAAAATTATCTCACCACTTGGGGCCCTGCTCAAGGACATCCAGTGAACCACACAGACAGCCCTTGTTCCTCCAACACAGCCCCATTCCTGGCAGCCCCTCGGCTGTTTGCCCCAAAACAGCCAGCGCCTGCTTAATATTCCTCAAGACTGCTTTGGGAGGTCCCACGTGCCCTGAGAGCCTCCATCAACCGAGGAACTCCCTGGGGAATGCTTGGAGATTAGATTTCCTGCCATGATTCATGACCCAGGAAATTTATTTAGGAAAACCAGTTCCTCAATAAGCCCTGACCTTTGAAGCTAATTGACTTCACTGAGCTACAAACAAAAAAGGGCTTTAAATCTAAGGCCTCATCTGTTGCTCAAATGAAGGGATCTGTCTCCTTATATTGAGGGGTGGGCTAAGCACACCCCAGCCTTAAACGCTTGCTTTCGAGAAATTACTCTCTGAAGGATGAGGTTGTCTTGGGGCCAGCTATGAACAAAAGCCACCCATATCTAAAAGAAATGCCTCCTATCAAGAATGTTGATGATAAAAAATTTTTTTAAAAATGATGACGTAAATAGAGGTTTATATAGTTAAATGGAAAGACAGTCATGCTTTGTTGTTCCATGAAAGACAAAAAAGGTTTGAAGTGGTATGCATAGGCCTGTGGCATTTCTGTGGTAGACAAATAGATATGCATGCAATTATTTACACATCTATTGGCCGAACAAATGTTAACAACGGTGATCACCAAGAAACTGGATTTTGTGTGGTTTTCATTTTTTCTTTTCTCCTAATCTGTATTGTGTAATTTTTCTAAAATGATATCTTTTATAATTGTTTTATATTTTTTTTAAACTGAGCAAGTAACTTTAAAAATTTTACCCTAAAGACCATTTTCATAACAATGAAAATAAATATATAATGTACATATGTAGCATATAATAAAATAAAAACCACGAAGGCTCTGCTACTCCAGAAACTCCATTTTCATCTACAATCTACTCTTCTTTGGACTTGACTTCACCAGTTCTGATGGAGTGAGGCAGAGGGAGAATTGAAAATCCACATGAGCTGGGAGAAGGGCATGGCAGGGGTTGGGGGAGGACCCTGGGTGGCCCTGTATCCTTCTGTCCCAGGTGAATTTCACAAGTTTCCTGCCTGGGCAAGGGTTGTCACAGCCTGGGTTCCCACCCCTTCAATAAATCCCACACCCAGGTCATCATCTCCGTTGTCCTATGAGCAAACAAGTCACAAGGTAAGGCAGAATGAGGCCCAGACAGAGCCCCCTTCCAAGCCTCTGGCAATCCCTCCGGCACCTACCTTGCAGTCTGTGCTGAGCAAGTGCTGGGCGATGACCTTGGGGTCATTGTTGGTGAACAGTTCTTTTGCACGCTTCAGCATCGAAGTTTCCAGGGGCTTGTTCTCAGGAGGAAGCAGCTTTGACCCAAAGTCATTGGGCTTGAATGAAGAGGTGGTCTCTAGGAGAGGCACCACAAACATGTCCTGGTCCTCCCGCCCTGTGTCCCCTGGGGCTGGCGGCGGCTTCCAAGGCCTTGTCCTGTCATCATCATCAAGGATCAAGTAGCTGGTGTCAGAGTTCCGGGTGCCCAGCCCCCCATTCTGCTTGGCTGTCAGCAATTCCACGTAGCTGTCCTGGGCACAGAAGGGCAGCCTAGATGCCCCCTCATAGCCGGCCGCCAAGGCTGGGTTCAGTTCACAGTAGTTGGCTTCAGAGTTGAGCCAGATAGATGGAGATCGGGGAGCTTTGAGCAGGGGTGCCTTGCAGGGCTTGGGGGGCGGCTTGGGGCATAGTTGGCTGTCTGAGCCCCTCAGCGCCTCCCCTGGCCTAGCATCTGAGGAGACCCTCCGCACCACAGCTGGACTCAAAGTCGGCTCGCTGCCCGTCCTGAACACTGGTGAGCTTGGGCAGGGGTTTGTGCCCACACCTGGGGACTGAGGGGGCAGCTTACCACCTGTGGAGGATAACAGAGGGTCAGAAAAAGCTCAGCTGTGAGGAAAACACAAAACAGACAAAACTAGAGTGACAGCTTCTGGCCCTCAATTCATACCCTAGAGTTTTAATTTTTATCCTCAAAAGACAAGCCACTATGACCACTACAGGTCTGGTCTAGAGCAGTCAAGAGCATGTCAAGGGCAAAGGTGGCCCCACGCCACTTCTTGGGGAATTCTAAATCCTGGTGAGTACCCACAGCTGGGCAGCAATGCCATTTTGTGGTCACAGAAGGTTATACAGTCAAAACAGGGAAATACATCGAGCTTGGAGGGCGGTGAGTAAACTAACCTTGCCCTAAGAAACATGTCTTTAGTCACACAGTGTAAAAGAGGAAGGGCCCTGAGTCACTCTCAAAGCCAGAGTGGATCCTGCCAGCTTTAAGGAAGAGACAGAGACACATGGGGAAGGGAGAAAAAGATGCTGAGAAAAACCACTTTCAAGTAGTTCATGAAGGGGTGACAAGAAAAATCACCCTGTGGTTCCCCAAGGAAGGTCAGTTACAAAAATAATGAAAAATAATCCCATTGCCTATTAACACAATTGCTTAGCTGGTTCCCCCACATTCCATGCCATCTCACTCTTCCAGCTGTGACAGCAGAATGGAGAGGAAGCGGGGTTTCTACCAGGAACCCCAAGACTGACCCATTCACCCTCTCTCCAGGGAAGAGACTAAGGGGAAGGCATGTTTGTTATGATGACCACCAGTTAGCGTTGGGCTCAGGGTCAGAAAACCTAGGTTCAAACGCTGGCTTCACCACTTACTAGATAGATGCATCTAGACAGGCCAATTATTATTATTATTTTTTTATTAGTTGGAGGCTAATTACTTCACAATATTGTAGTGGTTTTTGTCATACATTGACATGAATCAGCCATGGATTTACATGTATTCCCCATCCCGATCCCCCCTCCCACCTCCCTCTCTACCCGATCCCTCTGGGTCTTCCCAGTGCACCAGGCCCGAACACTTGTCTCATGCATCCAACCTGGGCTGGTGATCTGTTTCACCCTAGATAATATACATGTTTCAATGCTGTTCTCTTGAAACATCCCACCCTCGCCTTCTCCCACAGAGTCCAAAAGTTTGTTCTATACATCTGTTAGACAGGCCAATTATATCCATGCCTCAATCTCCTCACCCCAAAGAGGATAATCATGCTCACCTTAAAGGCTTCTTATGAGGCTTAAAAGCTAGCAGACATTAAGCATCCAGGCTTTCCTGGTGGCTCAGATGGTAAAGAATCGGCCTGCAATGCAGGAGACCTGGGTTTGATCCCTGGGTTGGGAAGATCTCCTGGAGAAGGAAATGGCAACCCACTCCAGTATTCTTGCCTGGATAATTCCACTCACAGAGGAATCTGGAGGGTTACAGTCCATGGGCCCACACAGAGTTGGACACGACTGAGTACCACGCACACATACAAAGCGTCCGACTCAGCGATTCACATCTGGATACAGTTCTATGAACCCCTCAGCCTCCAGACGTGGAGTCTCATGTCTTTCCCAAATTAGGTGACCAGATGGAGCAGGGGAGACAGCCTGCAGAAAATCAGGGGAACACCATCACCCTCCTCCCCACAAATTCCCAAAGACCTACCAATTGGCAGGTAACTTTCCGACTGGTGGGCTTTGAGGGACAAGGCTCTTCTGTCCTGCATGTGATCCAGGCAGGCTGGCTGGCTCCCACTCTTCTCTTTATTTCTGAAGCAAAAGACAAATAGGGCAGAAACATGTCATTAAGTCGTAAAACCTTTAGGCAACGTCATGGAAAGTTTAAAAAAAGAAAAAGATTGCTCAGAACAAGCGCGCTCCTGTACAGCCTGAGTCAAGGAGGGAACCACTGATGGGGTGATGAGTACATGACTGTGCCATGGGCTTCTTGCTGTGGCCCCAGGACCCATCCAGTTAGATCCTAGGCTGCTCCTTCTGAGTCTTTCCATCCTGTTAAGCAGAGCAGGGTAAAGGTTTCAAGATACTCTCAGGAAAATCTGATAAACTGGAATGTGTACTTTCAACAGCGCCTAAAATTACTTACAGACCCAGGAGGAATGACTTGTATAACTAACATGCGTTTTCCACCAGGCCTCACACTGTCACAGTTAGGAAGGAGACCGTGGGGCAGTTTCCATTTCAGTGGAAAGTTCAGTGGAAAGTTCAGTATCCTCCAAATAACCTGCAGGATTGCCCAGGGAGGTTGTCATACCCATTCCAAAGGACCACACTGGGGGATCCCCTGGCCAGCCTCCTCGGGCTGAGTCGGGGAAAGGGCCGAGGGGTCATCAAGCAAGCTGGGAGGCACAGAACACAGCATCGCAGGGAAAGTAGACCCTGACGACACAATTCACCAGCATGGCTCTGCCCCGTGCCAGTTTAGACTGGCAGTGCCTCTAGTCGGGAAGCAGAGCGCGGCAGCGCAGGGAAAGCAGGCCAGCAGACCCTGATGGCACAATTCGCCAGCATGGCTCTAACCCTAATTCAGATCGGGAATTACTCTAACTAGCACCAAAGAACAGCATCTCTCGTTAGCTAAAACAGAAAGCACTGCACCAGTCGAGTCGTAATGAACTTTAGTCGCCACCCCCAACCCCCAAACTTAAGTTACAGAAATTGTGAAAGTTCTTTCCTACCTTTGCAGACAACCAGAGGAAAAAAAAAAACCAAACAGCTCCCGAACTCCAGCAACAGAGAAATTCCAGCAACCCCTCAGAGATAAGGCAGGGCAGAGGGCAAATTCCAAAAGGCGGTGGCTTCAGTGAAGTGATATTTAAGCAGTGATCCCTGCCAGCAGTCAGACTCTGTGGTCATACACTGGCCTGGAATGTAACCTGGCCGAGCGCACACCTTTTTGGGGGTGGGGGTGGGGGCAACCATCTGGCCTGACGTCAGGGAATGTGGGGAGCCACTGGCGGGTGGAGGGGCAGGACTTCTAGCCATCTTCCTGGTTGAGTCCACCCCACCCCCACGTCTGGGTCTTTCTGGACCTGCAGTCTATGCCAAGTGTGATAAGGCTTAGGGAGCTCTGCTTTCAAAGGGCAATCCCCAAGAATGGCTCTGTTAGGTTTGTGTTATCAACATGGAGACTTTCTAAGCTTTTCTTTCATTTTTATCTTAAAAATTTTTTTTGTTGTATTTTAAATTCAGGTTGCTGAAGGTAGACCAAGGGGCCTCCCTTCCCAGCACTGTTTCTAGCAGGGGTTCTGTGGGTTACCCTGGCTCTGTTCACATTAACTCCCTACTCATCAGTTCATCAACCAACCCCTACTCCCAAAAGAACAGAAGATAGCGTTTTAATATTAGGCTGGTACAAAAGTAATTGCAAATTTGGACTGTGAATTTTAAATCTGATAACTAGGCTCAAACACATCTTTATTAATCAAAATAAGAACCATTACAATCAACGTGTTTCTTTGCCAAGGATAAATAAGTTTGTTTATTCCCGTAGAATAAAAATCCATGCTTTGAGATTCAATGAACTCTTTTGGAAAGCATTTTCTGCCTCCTGCTGGATGTGGAAGTATTTTCCCTGTGAAAAGTTGTTGAGATGAGAGGTCAGGTGAATATGGCAGATGAGGCAAAACTTTGCAGCCCAATTTGTTCCGCTTTTGAAGTGTTGGTTGTGTGACATATGGTCAGGTGGTGTGGAGAAAAACTGGGCCCTTTCTGATGACCAGTGGAGCTTCCTTGGTGGTTAAAGCATTTGCCTGCAATGCAGGAGACCCGGGTTCGATCCCTGGGTCGGGAAGATCCTCTGGTGAAGGAAATGGCAACCCACTCCAGTATTCTTGCCTGGAGAATCCCATGGATGGAGGAGCATGGTGGGCTACAGTCCACGGGGTCGCAAAGAGTCAGACAGGAGTGAGCAACTTCACTTTCACTTTTGATGACCAATGCCAGCTGCATCTGTTGCAGTTTTTGGTTCATCCTATTGATTTGCTGAGCTTACTTCTCAGATGTAATGGTTTCGCTGGGATCTAAAAAGTTGTAATGGAACAGACTGGCAGCAGACCACCAAACAGTGACCATGACCTTTTTTTGGTGCAAGTCTGGTTTTGGGAAATGCTTTGGAGCTTCTACCCAGTCCAACTGCTGAGCTGGTTGTCGTCAGCTGTCATATAAAATCCACTTTTCATCATGCGTCACAATCAGGTTGAGAAATGGTTCGTTGTTGTTGCATAGAATAAGAGAAGATGACACTTCAAAACGACAATTTTTTAAATTTGTGGTCAGTTCACAAGGTATCCACTTATCAAGTTTTTTCACCCTTCCAGTTTGCTTCAAGTGATGAACAACCATAGCATGAGTTCTTTGGAAACTTCTCATGTAGTTGTAAGAGGAGCTTCGAAGATGCTCTCAAATGGTTGTTGTCAACTTTCTTTTTTTGTTTTCCATTATTTTTCTTAGTTGGAGGCTAATTACTTCGCAACATTGCAGTGGGTTTTGTCATACATTGACAGGAATCAGCCATGGAGTTACATGTATTCCCCATCCTGATCCCCGCTCCCACCTCCCTCTCCACCCGATTCCTCTGGGTCTTCCCAGTGCACCAGCCCCGAGCACTTGTCTCATGATGTTGTCAACTTTCAATGGCCGCCACTATGTTCCTCATCTTCAAGGCTCTCGTCTCCTTTGCAAAACTTCTTGAACCACCACTGCATTGTACATTCCTTAAAAGTTCCTGGGCCAAATACATTGTTAATGTTGCAAATTGTCTCTGCTTTTGACCCATTTTGAACTTGAATAAGAAAACTGCTTGAATTTGCTTTTTTTCTAACATCATTTCCACAGTCTAAAATAAATATAATGCACAGACTCTTGCCAACTTTCCTTTCTTGGCAGTTAGATAACATGCACAAGGACTCTTCGCTGCATGAGAGACAAGTCGCGCATTAACCCAGGGCACATCACTTGTAATCGATGGTGGGGCTAGCTCAGTATTCAGTTCTCTGAACTCTTGTCCCCAAGATCCCCCAAGGGTCAGCCTGCAGCTCCCAGGCTCTCAAAGTCTTCTGTCTTAGGAATCTCATCTCTTCTGACCTAGTCAATCACCCTTTCTGTGTGGACCAAGTCCTCATCTAAGCTTTCAGGACTAACTTCGCTCCCTAACTCCAGAGCTGTTGCTGGACATGGGCCCTTTGCAAGCCCACAGTCACACCTCAGATAGAGCAACAGGTTTTCCTCCAAAGTCTACCCGCTCTGGTCCCTCCTGCGGTATCTGACTTGCCCGTCTCCACCTCCCCACAAGCAGAGTCTCAGGAAGCCTGGAGCCTCCTGACTTTCCTCACTACTCCATCTGCATGGCCTGATTCTTCACAGCTCACTAGCTGCCTTCCTGCTCCTCTCCCCTCTCACCCTTCTTGCACATCACCATTCTGTCTTGTTCTTAGGACACTTCATTCCCATGTTAAGTCTTTGAGGCTGCTCAAACCCCTCAGTCTGGTATGAAAGGCTCCCTGATCTGGTGGGGTCAGCTCCCTAAACCTCCCTCTGTCAGCCCCTGCGTGCACAGGCCCTTTGTTCCATTCCTCCAGTTTCCGTACTCTGAGCCATGCCTGCCCTTTTCTAACTCTGCAACTCAGGCTCTGTCCGAGCCCCCTCCCTCCAGGGGGACACCCTCCCCTCTGCAGCATCTATCCAAATGTCCCCTAGCTTCCAGACCAGCCGGAATCCTTACCTCCTTCACAAGGTCTCTCCTGGTCAGCCTTCCCCTTCCTTAGCAACTGCACCTTTTTTTTTTTTTTTGGCACCAACTCGACTGGCAACTGGGCTTCCCAAGTGGCACGAATTATAAAGAACCCACCTGCCAATTCAGGAGACCTAAGACACGCAGGCTCGATCCCTGGATTGGAAAGACCCCCTGGAGGAGGGCATGGCAACCCACTCCAGTGTTCTTGCCTGGAGAATCCCGTGGACAGAGGAGCTTGGTGGGCTACAGTCCATGAGGTCACAAAGAGCTGGACACGACTGAGGCGACAGCGTGCAGCACAACTGGGAAGTAACTGTGCACTGTCTTGGGTCAGCGATTCCAATGACACTCGGAGTCCCATTAACATCTCTCATTGTTCCTCTGCTCCTAAGGGAAGCTTGTCTGCCGAGCAGAGCTGGGCCCTGGCCAGGTGAGTGCCCCCCACAGTCCCAACACCACCCGAGGAGGCCCTGACTCACCTGAGGAGGTTGCCCCTGGGCAAGCCCTGCTCTCGGGCCTGGGTGCCGCCCACAGTGAGGCTCAGCCTCTTGGCCGCATCCGGTCTCCCCTCCGTGAGGCTGCCCTCGTGGGCCGGGTCTGGGGAGGAGGCTCCGTAGCGCTCCTCCAGGCAACGCAGGGGCACCGTCCTGTTGACGGGCTGGAAGATGACGGCTCCACTCTGCTGCGAGATGGGCCGCCGGTTGCCCACATAGCAGCGCACCAGGCCGGGGATGGAGTCGAAGCTCTCCATCTCAAACTGGTACTGCACGCGGCTGTAGGCCTCGCTGAGCCGCACCACCGTCCGGCGGATCTTGAAGTGCTGAGGCAGGTTCTTCCACTGGCAGGTCAGGACGAAGTTCCCCGGGCTGGACAGAGAATCACGAACCAGGAAGTCACCATCTCGCTGCATGAGGTTTTCTGACACCTTTGGGACAGAAAGGTGAGTGAGGAACAGGCAAGGCAAGCTTAGCTGCACTACGGACAAGGCTATAATGTCTCTTCTTCCTCAGTCGGCTCTTTATTTTGTCAAACTCTGAGAAGACTCATTCATTCATTTATGAACTATTTGTTGATCATCTACTGTGTGGCATCACCGACTCAATGGACATGAGTTTGAACAAGCTCTGGGAGATGGTGAGGACAGGGAAGCCTGGTGTGCTGCAGTCTATGGGGCTGCAGGGTCGGACATGACTGAACAGCAACAACTGTGTACCAAGTACTGCTGTAGGCACTGCATTTATAGCAGTGAATGAAGCTGACCCTCCACTGTCTCAGAGCTTCTGTTTTCACTGGAGAGCTTCTATTCTAGCAGGACAAAAAAGGAACAGGTGTGCTAGGTCAGATGTTGTAAAGTTAAGGAAAAAGTAAATTGGGATGGGGGCTGTGCTTTTAAATACGGTGGTTAGGAGGGTATCAGCAGAAGGTGACATCTATGCAGACCTGAAGGGTGTGAAGTGATAAAAACTAAATAAGAAAATTTGTGCCTGGTGGGTCTGATTCTCTCTCTCCCTGAAACACCTGGAGGAGGACGTTGGTTGTCATCTATGGGTCATCCTCAGAGCCTCTCCTACGAAACCCCTCTCCAGGCCTGGTGGGTGGGGAGGAGGAGGGCCTGCAAGAAGGTGGAAGCCAGGGACAGTAGAACTAGACCTCTGAGAGTGGTTCCGGGCACACCAATTATTCTGCGGGCCTGGAACAAAGTGGCCAGTCTCTCATCCCACAAAGTTATTGGGAAGGTTATATATTTGCATACATAATATATGAGGCTTCCCTGATCGCTCAGTTGGTAAAGAATCTGCCTGCAATTCAGGAGACCTGGGTTCAATCCCTGGGTTGGGAAGATCCCCTTAAGGAGGGCATGGCAAACCATTCCAGTATTCTTGCCTAGAGAATCCCCACAGACAGAGGAGCCTGGCAGGCTACAGTCCATGGCTTTGCAAAGAGTTGGATACAACTTAGCAACTAAACCACTGCCACATAATATACACAAAGCACTAGTACAGTGACTGGAACATAGTAGATGTTAAAAAAAATCATTAGCTATAAGGATACTGAAGTTTGTAACAAAAGGAGAATTTAAACTGTGTCTAGAATGGTTGTTCCCATAGCTAGTCTGCCTGGGTTTCCATCTTGGCTCTTCTGTGAGACAAGTTAGGTGTACAAGTCACACACCCGTTACATCATCTGTAAACTAGGATAATATCTCCTATAGAGTAGCTATAAAGATTTAAAGGAGCAAAGTGTTAACTATGTATGTGTTAGTCACTCAGTCCTGTCTTTGCAATCCCATGGACTATATAGCCTGCCAGGCTCCTCTGTCCATGGGATTCTCTAGGCAAGAATGCTGGGGTGGGTAACCATTCCCTTCTCCAGATCATCTTCCCAATGCAGGGATTGAACTCAGGTCTCCTGCATTGCAGGGGGCTTCTTTACCATCTGAGTCACCAGGGAAGCCCTTAAGAGTTAACTATAATGATCATTATTGTTACAGTCTTTAGATATACAATCTAGATGATGTATAGCTGAAAATTTATACTCATGGCAAGTGGGAAACAAATTTTATGATCATGATAAGGAGAATGATGGTGATGACAGACATCAGATTTATAAACTTTGATAAGTTTTCCAGGACCTGCCAACATTTGATCAGCTAGCTCAGGATAGTATGTTACCATGTTTACCTTAAAATTTCATCTTAGCCTTAAAAATGTTTTCACACAGGAATTCCACTTCTTGGAATTGAGCCTGAGGAAATAATTATAGTGATGAACATAGCAGTTATCTTAAAGGGTGCTGGGAGAGTGCCCAATACAGAGTGGAGCAGACACACAATGGATGCAGACAATGGGGGCTGGTTGAGAACAACATTTCATAGCAGGAGAAAATTCCCAGGTTATATCATTAACAGAAGACAGTGGGCTGCTAAGTTATAGGCAAAATGAGCTCAAACTTGATTTGGAAAAGTCTGGCAGGATTTATAGCAAAATATTCCTAGTGGTTATCTCCAGAAGGGAGAATTATGGGTGACAGTTTAGTTTGCTTCTTTTTTATTCTATTTTCTATAATCAATTTTAAACTAAAAGAAGAAAAACAAAGTTGAAATAAGAATTATTTCTTTGACGGTGCTGAGAATCTGCTACATTAAAAAAAACAAACAACCCATTCACACATTACCCCCCTCCCCCACCCTTAGCCCCACACCCCCACACCCCCCACCTTTTCTGTCCTGTTGTCCTGAGTGACATATACCTCAATTCTGCACTTATTTTTCAATTTCTATACTATTAAATAAAAAAACATTATTCATGGCTATGACTCAAAGGACAATCACACAAAGTATATTCTAGCCATGTGGTCGCTGGTATAATTCCTCTTCCCCATTTCTGGGCCGGGGGCTGGATAGAGGAGTAGAGAATGAATAATTGCTGGCCCCACTAGGGTACAGGCGGCCTGTTACTCTGGGTCACCTGCCCTGATGCTACCCTCTTTTCACCTGAAATTAAAATACAGCCTTAAGAAGGAAGCAGGCTCCACAGGGTATGAGGCTGCAGGCAGCTGGCCAAGAGTTCAATTATCTGAACCACAGCCCAGCCTCATATTCCCCGAGGTGCCACCCTGCACGGCTGCCTCCCACTAGGCCCGTGTTTACAGACCACAGAACACCTGCTTTTCCTTCATCCCCTCACTAGCCACGGGCAAATGGACTTTGAATTCCTGACCTTAGCTCTTCCCAAGATCTCCTTAGAAATGGGCCTATGTTAAGTCACTGCAAGCCGCTTCATATTTCGTTTGGGCTGAACTGGGGCTTGCTCCTAATGGCCCTGGGCACATGACCCTGCATGCAGGCAGGTACCTGTCGGGGGATGCGGCCGTGGTACCAGGCGTGGCTGCGCAGATCCTCACTGCTCAGTAGCAGCTCCTCCTCCAGCTCCTTCTTCAGCTTCTCGGGGGTCCTGTCCATGGCGTGCCTCTCCTTGGAGAACTGCAACACAGGGTCCCCAGTCACCAGAGACCTTCCCACCCTGCTCAGACTGGCGAGCCCAGGCCAGCCACCCGGAGAAGACGGCCTTGCGGTCAGCTGCTTGGCTATCAAAGCGGTATGTGCCCAAAGCCCCGGTCAGGTAGAGGAGCCTGGGTAATGATTACAATTAGCTGTGACCTTTCATTTCTCTGGCTGTGAGTGTGCAGTGAAATTTTCACCTGCACTCGGGGACTATGACAGCAGTTAGCCAAGCTGTTCCTTTTATCAGTCTGCTCGTGTAGCAGCTGAAAACATGGGGAGCAGGGTGGGGGGCACCAGGGAGAGAGAAAGGTGTGGGGCATGAGGGACATCGAGGCTGCCTAGGGAGTTTCTTCATTCTCCTTCTGAACTGTCCGGACACCCAGCTGGGAAGGACACGGTCCCCACCTGGCCCTGGCGGGACAAGACTGTCCGAAGTGCTGCCTTGATGACCTGAACTTTTTGCTACTGGCCAACTCCAGTTCAGGATTGAGTTTGCTTTTAGAAACGTTTAGAGCAATTGGACAGACTAATGTCTCCTGCATCTACTAACAGAAGTCTGAGTTTGTGTTTTGTATGTAATTTTAATTTCATTTTTCTAATATTTCATTTTTTTAATAACAGACTGGAAATTGAAACTGAAAGAACTGGCTCTTCCCTTCAAGCAATTTGAGAATCACTGTATCTAGGTCTTTGCCCAGTGGCCAGGACAGGAGTTCTCGGTGGGTAGCACTCACTGGGGTTTAATTTAGAACCCACACCCACTTAAAACATGAACTGAACTTGGACACCTGCCTGATTCCCAGCAAAACCAGGCGCAGGGACTATGGCTGAAGGTCATACAAGAAGGAAAAGGTCATGTCCTTGTATTTTCTCAATTTCCCCAGCTTGGCCTCAAAAGCCTGTAGGAATCACAAAACTATCCTCATCATTCTGCCCTGCACCTTAGCAAGGAAACAGCCCCCAAACTGCCTTCACTCAAGGAAAAGACCTGGTGGTTTTCCTGGTGGCTCAGTGGTAAAGAATCCACCTGCCAATTCAGGAGACACAGGTTTGATCCCTGATCTGGGGAGTTCCCACAGGTCGCAGAGCAACTAAGCCCACATGCCACAACTATTGAGCGAGTGTTCTAGAGCCTAGGAACCTCAGCTCCTGAAGCCCGTGCAACCTAGAGCCTGTGCTCTGCAACGAGAGAAGCCATTGCAACGAGACATCTGAGCACTGCAACTAGAGAAAAGCTTGCGCAGCAGTGAAGACCTGGCACAGCCAAAAGAAAATAAATACATTTTTTTAAAAAAAGAAGAAAAAGACTTGGGATTTTACTGCTGGATTCTTATCCTCAACCCATGAGGGCGCTGGCCGCAGAATGACTCCTGGGCTGCTTTCGAGGTGAGGCTCTCTGGCTTACTAATTATTTACTTCCCCCACCTCCCCTTCCCCTCCACTCCTCACAGTGCAGGCCCTTGGGAGTGTTTGATGGATGAGCTGAATTCCTATCAAAGCGATGCTGATGCTGGCTGCCCACGTGCCCGCAGGCATTAGCAGTGATGTCTGACACTGTCGGCTTCGATCATTAATTATGTACAGGTACATCTGAAGACAGCTCCTGGGGAAGACTTGAGTACAGAATGTAGGTTGTCAACCAGGCCACATGTGCTATTGGTTTATTGCCTGTCTTGCCTCCTGCTAGATAATCAGCTTCATGAGACCAGAGCCCATTTGCCTACCTCGCTGTTGCCCTCGAGAAGTGCATGAACATGTGGGGTACTCCCTACTCACTGAATAAACAGATAACCCACGATGAAGAAGGTCTGTAACTTTTCTTAGTTATGAAAGTTCTGTTTCCTCTCAAATTATCTGAAACCCTGCTATATAGTTGGGTGTGTTGCCACACAGCTACAGGATGATACCCCTCAGTCTCCCTCTCTTCCTGGGAGGTGCAGCCACATGACTAAGTTCTGGCCAAAGAAGGATAAACTGCCACGCTGGTGGGACTTGCCAGCTGAGATGTGATGGCTGGAGCTGCAGCACCATCCTGGACCATGAGGAAGAAGCCAAGCAACAAGAATGGGGGTGGGGGTGGGGGTGGGGCAGGCAGAAGGCCTGAACAAGCCCAGGTCCCTCACAGCAGTAAGGCCGCCAACACCCCAGCCCCGGATTGCCCATTTCCAGGTCTTCCATGTAACCTCTCTTTTTTAAACCTGTTATTTTGGGTGTTCCTGTCACTACCAGCTGAGTTAAATCCTAGCTGATACTGTGACCCAGGCCTCTATTTAGCCACGCTGACAATCTGTATGCCCAGCCCCAATCCCTTGTCCTGAGCCCTGGACCCACTTCTTCTTGGTCTGAGCTCTGAAAATGCAGCAACCAGCAGGTCCCATCCCCTGCATAACCCTCCACTGAAACTGTATTTGCCCTGACCCCTAAAGTTATTGCCATACTTCTCTTTGCATTCTCCTTGCTCCCTGATACCCAACACCCAGGCCATGTCCCACCACCCTCACCCTCTCTCTCTTTCTCAGCACCTCATCAACATCAAAGTTGTTTTTAACATTTTATACATGACAATCTTTTACTCTACGTTTTGAGATAATATTGTTCACACTTTTTACCAAAAATATAAAGTCAGCTCTCTTGTTACTTCCGTCCTAAGTCCTTAGAGGAAAGTCCACAATTACTGCTCTCTTCCCCTATGGACTTGAGAGGTGGGGCACTCTAGGGAAGTACCTAGAGGAGAGAGGAAAGATCAGAAAGACCGACCCTCTCAAATAATCTCAGACAGAAACCAGACTTCAAAAAATAAGCCCTTAAGCTCTGGCATAATTTGTGAAGAGTCAGGAGGTTACACAGTTGTCTAGACTTGTATCTTAAAAGAGGAGGAGGAGAAGGAAAAGGGAGGGAGATGGAGAGAGGGGAGAAGGGAGGGTGGGAGACAGTCACAGTGAGCAAGAACTGCAAAGGGCTGCTTATTTCAAGCTGGTGAGGGCTGGTTCTACCAGGTGGGCTGCTGGGAGCGTCTGGGTTCTACCAGGAGCCAGGTGGGCTGCTGGGAGCGTCTGGGTTCTACCAGGAGCCAGGTGGGCTGCTGCGAGCGTCTGGGTTCTACCAGGTGGGCTGCTGGGAGCGTCTGGGTTCCACCAGGAGCCAGGTGGGCTGCTGGGAGCGTCTGGGTTCTACCAGGAGCCAGGTGGGCTGCTGGGAGCGTCTGGGTTCTACCATGAGCCAGGTGGGCTGCTGGGAGTGTCTGGGTTCTACCAGGTGGGCTGCTGGGAGCGTCTGGGTTCCACCAGGAGCCAGGTGGGCTGCTGGGAGCGTCTGGGTTCTACCAGGAGCCAGGTGGGCTGCTGGGAGCGTCTGGGTTCTACCAGGAGCCAGGTGGGCTGCTGGGAGCGTCTGCTTCAGCAGATGAGGTGGGCAATGTCTCCCAAACAACTGAAGAGGCAATTCAAAAGTTACCCACAAGTGATTGATCACCCTCATGATGAAACAGTGGTTATTTGGAGGGAGAATGCCTTCTAGAACTTTCACTTGTAGTTTTAATCATATATATTAACACAACTTTTGTTTTTCTCAAGTGCCTATTTTATGAACTCTTAACCTTGGTGACTCTGATTTTGCCACTGTAGGTTAGTATTTTGATCAGCTATCAACCCCATGGTTGGTGAGGGATGACCATATAAGAAAGTTTGGCAAAATGTATCCATTTGAGAGCACTGTGACTGGTACTTGTGCACCTTGGGGACCAGGAATGACCAGGATGCGTCACCCATACCTGCGACACTTGGCAGAATTCTGATGGCTGCCCCCAAACAACAGAATCTTTGCTAACTGCGCACCCTTCCACTTAACTGCTCGCATCTGGCAGGCATTTGAAATTTCTTCTGAAATGCCTTCATCTTGGATAATTTGGGGGTCTTACTGGCTCTGAAGTAAATTCTAGTGATTTAAGGTAACACAACAGTACCTCAGCAATATTTGTTTTTTTTTTAATGTATTTGTTTTAATTGGAAGCTAATTACTCTACAATATTGTAGTGGTTTTGGCCATACATTCACATGAATCAGCCATAGGTGTACATGTGTCCCCCATCCTGAACCCCCCTGGTTTTTATCCCATTTGCATGGTCATCCATGTCCTCTGAAATTCTAATTGATACTACTAATGAATCCTCCTGCCCTTCCTTAAATTACCTTCTAAGGAGAGCCTAGATGAGAGAAGCCCTCACTCATACACTGTTCACAGGCACTGTTATTTTACGCACAGCACAGAATTCAGCATGACGAGAGACTGAATGAGGGACAGGTCCCAGCCCTCCAACAGCTTCTGATCTTGGGAAAATAGGAAGGACACAGAACATCTTTCATACCCGGTCCAGTCCCCATAGCCTTCTCTCCAAGCTGATCTCTTCCAGCTCTTTCACATGTGTTTCCACACACATCTTCTGAATTCAATGTGTTTCAAAGACTGGCTGGACACAAGTCATTCCCAATCTGCAGCGGGCACTGTGCACCCAAGCAAGTGTCCTAATTTCAGCTCTGCTCTCAGGAGGGTCACACTGGACAGACGTGCATTGCTCACCGGCCCTTTGGACTTTACATTCTTCAACTGCCAGACAGAGACAGCATGGAAATAATTAGGAAGAATCAGTCTCTCAAACAAATGCTATAGGTGTTACTAATGACCACCTTATAGTTGTACAAATTTTTCTTCAGGCTCAAATTCTCCGTTTGTCCTTAACTTTGAACTTCATTCCAAGAAGACAAGTCTGATTCCTTGTCTCTTTAGGGGAGACCAGAGACAAGGGACTTCGGTTTCTCTGCATAGGCTCTGGCCACCCCGAACTCCACTGCACACAGCAGCTGGGGCACAACTTTCAGCGGGAGGGAAGATGCCAGGCTTTGGATCAAGAACATCCTGCCCATGAGCCTTGCCAGGTTCATTCTAGGGACCAATCCCACTTGTAGCCACCATAAGAGAAAGAT